CTATGTTATTATAGATTTTTTGTCAAAGTACGGTCTCCTCTGACTTAAGAATCCCACAAGACCAAGGTAAAAAAATATTGTTCTCAGCAGAGTATGTAAATACTTAAGTAAAACTCAATACTTGAATACTGAAAAGTTTATTCTAAACAGATTCTTAGAAGAACACAGCGTGATGCTCGTCAAACCTCCCTACAGAATTGCGCGCTACCACTCTTTGCGCGGGAAACTTTACTAATCAGTAATCTGTCATATTTGACATCGTCAACATGACAGCTAGTGCTGTCAATAATACAGATTAAACTAGTGACGTTCATTTAGTTGATTTTCGTCGTCTAACAGTAAATAGTAATACCTTAAAATAGTCAATGACGTTGAAAAAATGCTGACATAAAGTCACTTGAAAAAGCTTGAAGCATGGGTAAAAAATAAAAAGCAAAAAGCTTTTTATTTTTTTTTAACGTTGCTAGGCCTAACAAGGATTTTCTCCTGTGTCGTGGAGTGCGTTTACAAACATACAAGTTGACATGACATGACACCCAGACCTAAAACAACAATTTTTAGATCACACAAGAGTTGTTCCGTACGGGCATCGAAACCGCTACACGTTGCATGGCAGCCAGTTAAACAGCCACCGCGCCAACCGTGCTGTAAAAAAATGACAAATGTTCTTAGTGTCTATGTGTGTATGTTCTATAGTAGTTGTTTCAAGAGACTCTGTCCGCCTTTTATTTCAACGTCCTTGATATTACCTATCTGCAAGCACAAAGAAGCAAATTCAATTTCAATATCTATGAATTCTTTAGTCTACTTTATTCTTGATTAAAAATTGAAACTCCAGTACTTTTACAAAGGAACTATAGGAAGCCAATCGTAGCTGGCCCAGATATTGCATTTTAATGTATTCTGTATATGTAGTAGTTCCTAGTATTTTTTTATTAAAACAGAAAAGAAGTCGAATTTTGTTGTGACGTAAATAATTTAGAAGACTTTTTATTTTTACTACTTTTATGTACCCGCTGGTTTTTTTTTTCTAATACCCGCTGGATTTCGGATTTTTTTTCTACTCGAAATGAATATTCTCCAAATAATAGGAAATGAGACCCCATTGTCTTGACCCCATGACAGTAAAATTTAAATGAATAAAGTAGATAGCTACTTGGAATTTGACATTTAAATTACAAGTTTACGTTTGTTTTTACTTTGTAGCCAAGTACAATAAATTAGGTATTGTTCTAAACTCTGTTCTACTTATTTCTTAGAACTAATTAAGAATGATCTTTTGATAAATGATTAAATAATAATAATGATAATGATTAATGATTAAATGTTCTTTAATTCCAAAGATAAATACGACTGCCTAGTTGGCCGAGTGGTTGCAAGTGCGACTACCGGGCAAGGGGTCTCGGGTTCGATTCCCGAGTCGGGCAAAGTATAACTGGGTTTTAAAAAAAATCTCAGTAGGAGCACGGAGTCTGGAATTGTGCCCGGTATAATGGCAATAGGCTCACTCCCTATTACATGGGACTTATAACATAATTATAGTCTGTCAAGCGAGTGCTTTGCCGCCTTTTTCATGGGACTAGACTCGCTTGACAGACTCCAGTGAAAAGTGGGTGTTACTTCTGTATACACATCTGCCAATCCCTTCAGGGAAAAAGGTGTGATGTTATGTTATTTATAATTACAATCGCGGATACTTGTCTCTAATTTTTTAATTTTATTGTTTACTAGCTTCTGCCCGCGACTTCGTACGCGCAATTCCGTTTTCACCCGCTGCCGTAGGATTTTCAGGATTTTTTTCTGCCATAAGAACCTTCTCCTGACAATAACAAACACAACAAAAAAAAATCAGCCAAATCGGTTCAGCCATTCTCAAGTTATGGCGTGACAACGGGAAACGGGTTTCATTTCTATACAAATATTATAAAGAGGAAAGGTTTGATTTTTTGTTTGTTTGTTTGTTTGTATGAATTGAATAGGCTCCGAAACTACTTGGCAGATTTGAAAAATTCTTTCACTGTTGGAAAGCTACATCATTCCTGAGTGACATAGGCTATATTTCATTTTCAAAAAAAATAACTAGGCATCCTTACTAAAATTACGATAACGTAATCCAAGGTGTGAAAAAAATATCAAAAAACTACCTTACATCGCGTGCGCTGCGAAAACTATTGATGATAGAACAAAATGATATACTACATTTTTTTAGAACACACCATTATCTACAAAAAATCAGCGGCAGCATATCTCTAACTATTACAGTCATGTCACAATAAGCGTTTTTTTATTGAAAAAAAGAAATTAAAATACCACCGCTACAAAAAGCTCTTTAATTGTACCTTGGTATTAACCCTTATCAAAATAAATGATGTATTATTTAAGACTGCTTCAATATCTTTATATTACTTTTTGAATTATTCGATTCTGACAATCCATTCCAAAGATATCACGAGTTAAAAAAAAATTAAAAAATAAACTGTATTCGGCTAGCTATGCGTTGTAGGCGTCACTCGGGCAGGGGTACGGGAGGGGTTAAGATCACGAAATAAACTCACTCGCGCGGTCGGTTCCGTACGTGATGGACGTGTGCGGAATTTACGCTTGATAATAATTCGTTTAGTAAGTAACTAAACCGATTTAAAAAGTTCTTTTCAGAACTAAACCCATTTATATAAAATATTGTTCACTTAGTTATTAACCTAATAAATTACTTGAATATCTTTCATGATTTTCAATTTAATTTTAATAAATAGTAGGTAGTTGTGTACGTTGTAATATAGTAGCATATATAGCTTACAGTAATGCTAATTTAGTTTAAATGCATTTTTTCTTTTGTCATTTTGAAATGCCTAAAAGATCAAGATCTCAAAATACAAAAAAATCATTAAATAATATCTGAATTTAATTGATCTTATTTTTTTTTATTTACTCTTTTTTAGGAGCTCGACGCAAAAAGGGATGAATATGTGTCGTATTATTATTATGTATGTCTTTACCATTCACGGGACCACAGGGTCCCGGTCATTTGGGAGGCGTACGAGGGGCCGAAGCCAACTGCGCAGAGGCCCTTTATTATTACATATTATTATTATGAATGTGTTAAAATTAACAAATCTAAATGTAATGTTTAATGCCCGTGCGAAGCCGGGACGGGCCGCTAGTTTATATATATAGATGGGCTCATTTTTCCAACGACTGATGAATAACTTTGAATATTGATAATTCTCCAATTTTATTTTTTAACTGAGGATTGTTAAATTGGCCCTAAGCATTCTGCCTCTGCCTCTACCGTTGTCAACATGCCGCTCGTGTATAAGAACTCTTAGTGCGCTAAAAGCTCCACACTTCCTAGTCTTTTTTCCCAAAAACCTAGGCATCCTTTGAAAGAAGTCCCCCATAATCTAAAAAAAGTAAGTAATTTTATCTAATCTAGTCTCCCTCTTGATTTAATAATACCTCAAACGTAAAATATGGCAAACAAAAAGAATATAGATACACAAAAAATAAGACAAGATTAAATAGACTAACAGTCTACCTAGATCTTTCAAGTTTCTACAGAATATCCTATCTTTTATTAATAAAGCCATTCCGAAAAATGGGAGTCCATACGTCTAACGTACAAACGTAAGCCATAAGCCTTGTAATAAGCTCCTTTATCATAGATCTATTTTTATATGCCGCTCCGAAGCCGTAGATATATCATAGACAACTTGTTTAGGTACAAAGCCGTGCCGGATTAATACTGAGGCATGACTTAGGGTTAGGCACCTTCTTTGTGAATTTTGGTACACATACTTAATTTGGTGTAATAATAAGGCAATGTATCTTTGCACTAAACTAAATGCCTTTTAAATACCGAAGGAGTAAACACAAGTGAACTTTGTGCTGCCCGCAGTTTCACTGTTCACATCAATTAATTCATTAATTTTGACAAATAGTTTATTGAATACACGGTCGGTAGTGGCTGGGCAGATCCATTCTTTGTGTGATCTATAAACTTCTTGGCCAGGGTGTAATGCAGGTGGATGTGAGTTTGTATGTTTTCAAAGCACCCGGAACCAAAACATGTAAGAAAATCCTATAGTATATGTATATAGGCCATCAAAAAAATATCATACATGTGACGCCATCTCTTAATCCACCATTACATTTTTTCAAATTCAATAGTTCTCGAGATTAGCGTGTTCAATCAACTCAACTCATTTCTTTATTTTTAATTCATTAATTTTATTTATTTATATATTATACTGTATTGTTACACTACACATTCACATTATCACACATACACATATACACATCATACTTATCGCACATGGCGATTTCACATTACACATTGCACATTAGTCTTACAATGATAATCTTCTAGATGAAAAAATGCATTGAATCCACTGTTTAATCGTTAATCATTCATTAAAAAAACCAGTGAAAAAAACTGAAACAATCTGTCTATGGTTACACTTTGAAATTTTTTTATTGTCAAAGGTTTTGTCAGGAGCGTGTATCGGAACGTCACAATTTTAAAAGTTCTGACAGATAAACGGTTTTGTTTGTTTCATGAGAGTTTATTTTTGTTTTCTTGTAATTATTTGAAAGTATTATAATATTAATCGATTACTTAATTTCGGTGAATTATGCTGTGTAATTGTTAGTATTGTTTGTGTAACCTACAACATAAGGTGAGCTGCAGTGTTTTCATTGAACTTATCATAAACATTGACTAACGTAGCAGCTTCTAAACGTTTTAGTTTAAAGTTAAGTGTACATTTTTGTGTTAATATATCAAAAAGTTAAAAGATATCTACTTCCCGAACCATCTTTGGTCGAATAAGTAAAACATACAACGTGTTATTTATGTTAAAAGCAACTAATAAGAAATACATAATTGTTGACAAACTTTTGTATTAAATACTTATAAAAATCCAGTCCCAACTAAATACAAGCCTCAAAGGCACCTCAACTAAGTCTTACATCACTATTACAGATAATAAAACGGCGAAATAATGCCGAAAACAAAGATTCCATCGCCAGCGCGATCGCAGGGAGCAACAACACCAAAACGTAATAAGAAGTTGCGAGGCAGCCGTAGTTTGTGCTCTCCAGCATTATCTACAGCTTCAGGCAGACTAACTTCCCTCATAGACCAGTTCAAAGACAAGAATATGGAGTCCTTTGCCTTGTCGCCATTGAATAGAAGATCCATACTGAATGATGATACAGCTATTGAAGAACCACGGCGTGAGTGTTGTTAAATTAATACACAAATTACATTTGCGAGCATAGGGGTACAGTGTGATGAGTGTGTTTGTGTCCTGCGGTATAGATTGCTTATAAGCAGAAGTGCTATATCGTTGGCTGCATCATCGCTTACCACCAAGTGAGATAGTAGCCAAGCCAATACATATAAAGTACCTAGCCAAAATACAAAAATAATCCTATTGACATCAATTTTTTAAAAAGAATGTTGATGAGGTGTACTGTTGTGTATGTTATCTTTTTAATATCTATAAATAACTTCTCACTTAATTGCTTAATGACTGCACAATCGGTGCGATGGCTGGACTAACTAGCTCAAGTGCAGCGTGTTTGTGTAGAGGGTTTAATTCGCGCATGGATCAACTTTTTGTGTGTTTCACATATTGTTGTTTTGGGTCTGGGTTTCACTTGTGTGTGAACTTGTATGTTTGTAAACACAACCACGACAGGAGGAAATCCTAGTGTAGGGCAAAGTTTTTTTTAAAATAGAAAGAATGAAAAGAAGTATCTGCTTACCTAACTAATATTTGAAACTTAACGGTTTTGACATTCAATCAGATAATAGTTACTTTGTGTATAACAGTCAAAATCTTATTGTACAAGGAGGAACATGAATAAGAAGAAATTGGCATTAATCTATTTTATTTTTCATTTTTCAGGTAAAAGTTGGTGGAAAAATTTGAAAGAGGATTCTCACGAAATTATGGAAGTGTTGGAAGATAATAAAGTGGTTGATGGTGGCAACAACGCAATTGAAGAGCTCATTGATATTGAAGTTTTGAGGTAATTTGCATGTTTCATTATAATGGTGTATAAGAGCTATGCTTCGACCAGAGTGATGTCACGCACGACGTCACAGAAAACCCATGTGGAACACCGCTTGCATTGTGTTTCTCTGTGTAAGTTAGGTTCCCAAATGCCACCCTTCCCCAATCTCTCCAATCCCTGAATTTCCAACAATCCTCAAATTCCGTATACCCAAAAAGCCGGTAACGCACTTGTAACATTATTCCGGTTAATACCATACAAAAAAAATTGCATCATTACCTTGAAAACATTATTACCTTACCTTGGCTTTGTTCCACAGTGTCGGATTATATTTCTGTTCCTAAAGTTCATGGACAAGTGTTCTGTGAGATAAGTATCTAAATCTATCTATTAGGCTCACCAAAATTTAATCAGACATAGTAAAACAAGCTTTCGTCTGTAATTGGAATAGCAATTAATGTAGAGGCAAGAATATAGTATAGTTATTCCAATTTAAACTGTCAAACACCAAACGGTCACCGGTGACCGCAACCTATTGTTCTTTAATTGTGTCTATAAATATGGTACTCGACGAGTTAAAAGGCAGGCAACGCAACAGTGGCTCCTCTTGTGTTGCGGGAGTCTCCTTGTCTGCCATGTGTTCCTTAAAAAGAAGACAATTGGGTTATACATGTGAGGTACTTAGAAGTTTAGATTTTTATATTTCTGTTATCAAATCTAACATAATTTTAACTGTTTTCAGCCAAGAGAAGAAAGAATACACCCTTGATTTACCAGAGAGCAGTGACAACGAATCAATAAACAGCATAGTGCTACCACAACGAAAACTCTTCACACAAAAAGAGAACAAACCACAAAAAAAGTTTGGCCAGTTCAATGATAATCGAGAAACATTGGCCAAACTACACAAGACCAACACACAAAGTGATAAAACCGTAAATGTTGGGACTAGAGAACTGTTCCAAAATGCAAAAAGGTCGAAACCAATATTTCCTGCCGCCCTACTCAATATATCTCCTAACAAAACAGCTGCAGACAAAACTAAAGAAAACATACTACCAGAACCCAAAGTTAGAAATATCTTTGGCAATCGACCAGCAAATAAGAGGAAGAACATGTTCGCCGACTTCGTAGTTTCTGAGAGTGAGGATGAAATACCAGAGATACAGCCTCGAGTGTTTGGGTTTCAAAAGAAGCTGGAACAGCGACGAATTAGTTCCATATCCAAAGGCAGAGAAGGGTCTCCAGCGTCTAGCATCACTACTGATATGGAAATGGATGATTGGAAGCTCCTACCATCCTCAACAATGGTGGAAAATCAACTGGAAGACATAGTGGCTGGTCGTACACCGAAACGAGCTAGACTCAGTAAATTATCGGAAGCTAAAGAATCTGAAGCTGGAACTAACACTCTACGAACAAATAGTACTGGTGACAAAACTAAATTGTCAAATAAATCTGTAACTTCTAAAAACAAATCTCCAGACATAAAAGATAAATCGTTAAACAGCTCCAGAACCACGAGAAGTATGTTGAAAAATGCTTCGGTACTTGAAGAAAAAGCGAAACCTTCTAAACAAGATACCAAAGCAAATAAAACTCACAGTAAAATATCTTCCAAAGATGACGAATTAGATGTCAGTTCGTCCAAAGCAACAAATAAACAAAATACCTCATTGAACAAATCTCAAAGACTAAATAAGAGCAGAACACGAAACAGTTCAAAATTAATTGAAGAAGAAATAGAATCTGATGAAAATGTCGTTAAACATGCAATTAACGACGCAACACGAGTGATAAGTAAGAATGCTTCAAACGCTACAGGTGCTAGTAAAAGCATAAATGACAAAGAACGCACTATAACTCTTAAAGTACATGATAAGGCAAGTGAGACTGGTTCTAATAAGGAAGAAGAAGAGAACAACTTTATATTACAATACGAAGATGAAATTGTAGAAGAAGGTGTAGACCACAATGAAATTAACGAAAACAAAACTAGTAAAATCAAAACAAGGAATACTATTGTTATAGAAAAAGATAATCAAGAATCTGAAGTCGATAAATTGAAGAGTAACAAATCTATGCAAAAAGAACCTAAACCAGTTAAAACAGTTGAAGAATCTGTAGAATCAGGGAATGAACAATCTGGAAATGATAATATTGACGGTAATGAAGCCGAGGTTGAACAGAATCATGATAGTCACGATGCAGAGAAAGCCAGTCAGGAATTGAATGAAAAATCAAATAATAGCGAACAAAATGATGAAAGAAATGTATCTGAAGATAATGAAGATCAAGAAAATGATGAAGAAGAAATGGATGTTAGTCAAGAAAACGATGAAGGGAATGAAAGTGACAATACACCTGAAGCCATTTTAAGCAGAGTTGATGAAGAAAATGAAAGTGAAGTCAATGAGGAGAGTGAGGGTGAAGATGTTAATGAAAGTAACGAAAATGAAGAACAAAACGAAAGTCAAGAGGTCGAAGCAGAAGTTGATGAAAGCCAAGAAATAGAAGAACAAAATGAAAGCGAACAAATTGAGAACGAAGCTGATGAAAGCCAAGAAGTTAATGAAGAGGCTGATGATAGCAAAGTTGAAGAAAATGATTCTGAAGTCGAAGAAGAAAACCAAGAGGTTGAGAATGATGAGGAAGAGGAGAATGTAGAAAAAAGCCAAGAAGTAGACAATGAAGAAGAAAATGAGGAGAGCCAAGAAATAGAAAACCATGACGTAAGTCAAGAATCAGAACATGAAGTAAGTCAAGAAGTAGGACATAAAGTAAGTCAAGAAGTTGAGAATGATGAGGAAAGTCAACAAATAGAAGAGGAGGTAGAAAATCAAGATGAAGATGACGACGAGGATCAAGAGGCCGAAAATGACAATGAACATGATGAAGAAGAAAATGAAGAAAGCCAAGAAATAGAAAATGACGAAGAAAATCAAGCAGAAAGTGAAGCTGAAGTAAACGAAAGTCAAGTAGAAAGTGAAGCTGAAGTAAACGAAAGTCAAGAAATCGAAGACGATCAAGAAATGGATGACAGTGACGAAGCTGACAGAGCTATCGCCAGTGATCCGGAGATTTCTGATCAAGACGACAATGACGCTGATGAAATAGAGGTTGATGAGGATGATGACAATAACGAGCAAGAGTCCGAAAATGAAGAAACTGAAGAGAATCAAGAAGAAACTCATGAAGATCAACAAGAACCAAGTGCGGAAGAAATAGAAGAATCACCAAATGTGACTCATGATACCACAGGCAGACATAGACAGAAAGTACTAAAATCGCCTGAAGCGATCTTACACGACAAGACTAACCAAATGGACTCATTCACAGCCAAAGGCCGAAACACTAGCATAAGAAAAACAAAGAGCATGATCAAGAATCTTAACATCAGACCGAGTTTGGCTCCTCAAAGGGATAGTTTGGCCTTTTCTGATGGTACAAGGGACTCCAGCGCAGAAGGATCAGGATGGGACTCCCATAGAACAACCCGCAAAACGCTACGACAAACTTTCGGAAAGGATTTCACTCCTAGAAAGTCTCTAAGAGCTTTAGTCATGGAGAAATCAGCTAAAAGACAAACTGAACATATGGATCTTCATTCAGAAACTTCAAAATACCCCCAGGCTAATTCTACAGAGTTACCCGAGGACTCCAATGGTCATGTCGAAGATTTTGTGGTGGAGTCTGACCACGAAGTGTCAAGGAGAACCCGGCAGACGACCTTAGAAATGTATTTACAGAAAATCAAACAACAAAACATTGAAAATAAAGTTAGAATGGTAAGTGTCGCAATTTTATTTCATGCTTTTAAGACGATATTTGGATTTCACCGTTAACAAAACGTTTTAGTAATTTTCATTGTCAAGTTGGAGGCAAGCCCGTTGTAGAAAGATTTCGCGAAATTATTGCGAATTTTATTTATTTATTTATTTATTAACACTGCTGTATAACAAACATACGATGGCGGACTTAATGCCGAGTGGCATTCTCTAACAGTCAACCATTTAGTCAACAATTTTACTGCCTCATTGGCCGAGTGGTCACAAGTGCGACGGTCTTGGGTTCGATTCCCGGATCGGGCAAAGTATTAATGGGTTTTTTTATTTTAAAATCTCAGTAGTCGCACGGAGTCTGGAATTGTGCCCAGTATACGGCAATAGGGTCACCCTCTATTACATGGGACTTATAACATAAAATAATGAAAAGTGGGTGTTACATTGTACAGTGCTCTCAAGTGCCGTAATGTGCATCTCTGTCTACCCCTTCGGGTTCTTCTAGTCTTCGGGGATAAAAGGCGTGTATTATGTTATTGCGATTTTTAAGACAAACGTTAAAACGATAATACTTTCAAATCATGGCTTTACTTGTTAACGCTTCATTAACTTCATTAAACGTGTGAATTCTGAAATATGTTTCTTTTACAGGAAGAACTTGTGCGCAATTCATTGAAAGCACCAGCAAGAGATACATTGAGCCTCTTCAAAGTGCCATCCAAACCGGCGCCGCGTCGCTTGAAGTCCACACAAAATAAGCCTAGAGCACAAGTCAAAAGTATCACGGCATTCGGCGAATTACCCACGGAAGTCATTGAAGATATGAAGTACAAACCGCCGAAGAGATTCCAACCGACCAACGCGTCCTGGATCACTAAGAGACTGTACAAGTTCTTGGAAACTAAATTAGAACCTAAGTAAGTGGTTGAATTACATTTTCATCTTCATTTTCATCAACAGCCTGTAAGTAGCCACTGCTGACCAAAAGCCTCGTCTCGCACGGTGAAGGTTTGAGCATTAATCACCACGCTTGCTCAATGCGAGTTGAATCGTTAAGTTTCCCCCCAGCGTATCCTACAGCTACGGTTGTTTGAACGCGTTTATCTATCGAAGTACTGGTTCAAATTCAAAGATTATTTTTTGTTGGATAGTCCATTTATCGAGGAAGGCTATGGGCTATCAAATATCACGCCACGACTAATAGGAGGCGAGCAGAGCGGGTGAAACCGCGCGTTAATAATATGGTATAAGCATTGGCTTATTAAGAATAAAGAGATAAGAGAGAGAGGATACTTACTAACAAATATTACTCCAATAACAGGTACGATTACAAAGCGCGCGTGCGTGCTGAAAAGCTAGTAGAAACGATATACCACTTCGCAAAGGATCTGCGACGACACGACGTAGCACCAACGGACGCGGTCGACGTACTAAAACATGAACTAGCGAGGCTTGAAGTAGTTCAAACCCACTTTGAGTTTTACGAGTTCTTCCACGAGTTCATGCCGAGAGAAGTTCGTGTTAAGGTGAGATTTGGTGTACCTAACTCTTTCAAGATAGTACCACTAGGGAATCTAAACCAAGACTGTATTTTGCCGAAGATAGTCAGCACTAGACAGAGGTGTGTTTAATTAACATTCACTTAACCAGTTATTTATGTTATGAATCACTATAGGCAGCATGCCTATCGCCACTGGTATATCAGCACTGAGTAATTTTCGAAAACCCAAAAAGTTCCAATAACGCTATTGAAGAGGATCGAGGAACCTAATCCAGGACCCAATATTACCTATCCAATCATAATATCAATGTCGCGGAGAACCTAACGGGTTACCGGGGCTCCGGCTCGACGTGCAGAGGGAACGGGGTGGTTTTTAGTCAGTAAGAGTCTGACACTCCCTTCCCCTCACCCAGGCGGGAGCAGTCATTCGATGATTTTCCCTCCTTAAAAAAAAAATCATAATATCAATAAATACCAAAGTCTACCATGGCAATATTTTTAATCATTAAAAAAATGTTTGGTTTCCAGGTGGTTCCCGATATCGTGAACAAAATAGCTCTGCCCAGGCACGGAGTATTCTCAGATATTCTAAGAGGGAACAATGTACAAGGATAACAGTATTTTCCTTAAAATTATCGTTTTAAGATGAGTTGTTAATTAATTAATTATGGATTGATATTAATAAATGTTATAAGACATTGTCTACTTGGTGTTTTTAATTTAGAACCTCATAAAAACCTTTGATTGAAATGGGGTCACTGGAAGATTCTTACAAAAATCGGCACGGCCCGCTTTGGTATGCAAAATACAAGAAATTTCTTAAAATGTAATAAAGGTACGCTTTTATTTTTAAACGTTGCCCCAAACAGAGCGAGGTTTAAGAAATACAAAATATTTAGTATCTAGAATCTAGATGCTAGGACTTCATAACTTAGTAAGAGCTGCATAAAAAAGGAGAGAACAGGTAGATTCGTTAAATAAGTTGTTGCCCTAGCCAGACGGTCTATCTCTCTCTATTTAAATATATACCCAACTTTGAATGCGAAAGTTTGTGAGGATGTATTAGTTACTGAAGGGGTCGAGATGAAATTTTGACCAAGAATAGAATGGATAGGAATAACACTACTTTTTAATCCATGAGAACGCGGGCAGAGACAACGCAGAAGCTAATGTAAAATAAAACAAAAACCTCCGGAATCTAGGACTTGTTTATTTCGAAAATATTAGGATACAAATGTAAACCTATGTTACAAATTACAGTACCACGGAGCACCATACACATAAAATTATATTGCAATTACATAGGTACAATTACAGAGAACGATTCAACTTAAAAATGAAAAATACATCTTGCTTACAACTATTGTGTATAGAAGGATAAAGGCGAAGCTTAGTCTTAGTTGAACCTCTTGTTGGGGCACATCGATTCTTGACATTCCTTAAAAATATTTAATTATACTGCAAGGCTGGATATTCATAAGAAATTAAATAACATTATAAAATACTAAGGTTACATTTTTAGGATAAAAAATATAGGAATTCATAATGCATTTTAATTTAACACGTGACATTAGCGGAGGACTTGCCTTCAATAGCTTTCTATTGGCTGTCAGATGCTTAAAAAAATAGTAAGAGCAATGCTAATTTGACTAAATTTCAAAACTATATCAACTACACATATTGATAATGGGGTAAAAGCTAGCAAAAAGATCGCCTTGTTTTACGTTTACTAAATACATTTTTTAAACTCCGCCGTTTATAAATAAGTCGAATAATATTCCAGGAGTTTAATACATGATTACCAGCTATTATAATTGTATAGTATAAATAAGTGCTTTGTTCGACAAAAATAATTCTGTACATTTGCATAGCTATATTGTTGTGTAAATTCTAATAATTCACAAAGTAATGGAGAATTAAAGAATGAAATGAGAGAATTCATATAACACCTATGAGTTAATACAACGATGGTCTACCGACCGATTTCAATAACCAATCTCGATTGAGGAGGTTCTCAGTATGTATGTTTGTGCAATTACCTCGCAATTGTCAGAACCGATTCTGCTGAGGTTTCCAGAAAAGCGTTCGGTACACTTAGGAGAAGGTTTTAGTATATTAGCTAACCGACTTCAAAGAAACAAGAGGGAGTTGAAGTCTGTTTTTTTAAACGTTATAAAAGAATAGGGTAGATGACTAATTTTTATTTTAATGTCCGTCTGGCAGATTATTTTAAAACATTGGACACGTATTTTATATTTTTTTACAGAAACGAACTTTCGACGATATATTTTTTTTAAAAAAAAAACGTTGCCCCACACTAGGATTTTCTCCTGTGTCGTGGGTGCGTTTACAAACATCGCGTTTACAGACCCGGAACAACAATCTGTGGATCACACAAAGAGTTGTTCCGTGCGGGAATCGAACCAGCAAGCAAGTAGCCAGTTGCCCAGCCACCGCGCCAACCGTGCAGTCAATATTAATTTGAAATGTCGCGTGACGTCACTTCTATGTACATTTTATACGTAGAAATGACGTGTTAGCCCCCACTTCTAAACTTTGATTCGTTTTATCTAAGTATTGTTTTATTATACGACAAAATAAAAAATACGTGTCTAATAATTTTTCATTACCTAACTGACGGACTAATTAGATTTTTAATTTTCATACCCTGTCATCATCCCTATTATTGGCATGAAATTTCTGTCAGGTATCAAGATCGGTTTGAACATTTTGAATCAAAATCAGTGATTGAAACCAGCCGTATATGAGCAAAAATTCACATAAAGGATAAAGTGCACGAATACAGAATAAACCCACGTCCATATTAATGTTACTGAACGAATTTTCATTGCAATGTTTAGTACATAAATCTGTAGAGGTCGATTTTTAAATATAACATGTTTAATAATACTTAATATTAACTGTCTGTCGGAATACTCAAACGCTACTCAATTTTAAGTCGCGCTTAAGTATAGTTCTGTCTCCACAAATTCTTTGTATAATGACAGAGATGGCACGATATTTAAGCACGACTTAAAATTGAGTAACGTTTCAGTATTCCGGCATTAATCTTTTGAGATGCATACTTCTTTTTAAAGACGTGGGCAGATTTTACGGTTAATATTGTTTACCTTGGTTTTGTGACAACATTTACAAACAATTACTGCGATATAAAACAAAGTTCAAAGTAAAACGAGTAGTGTGACCGTAAACTTTGTGACTCAAATGGAAAGATTTTAAGACATTTTGGCACTACTTAGATTTGTACCTAAATTGAATCGAAAATATACAATTTCATCTTTTACAATCGTCATATTTAAATAAAATAAATGTCATTATAAATTAAAAATAACGTATTTGATTACTATTTTACTAAACAGTTCATATGAACGTAATTATTTTATATTTTTATAAGTACAGCTTAAAAGCTTTAATAAAATGCAGTCGAGGGTATATTTAAAGCAGTCGAAATAAAATTGAATAACTACATTAAACACTAGTACGTTACAAGGGAACATCAAAATATTTAATAATCTTTAATGTTTACTTTGGCCGAAATGTTGGCTACTCCGATTTTTGTGTTGCCAATTAAAAATATAATTAAAAAAATGCAGAATAGTCTTCCTAAGACTTTGAAAAAAAGGCGGATACTGTCTCTTGAATCAACGACTGTGGCACCTGGCTACTATAGACTTAAACGCAGAACATACACACATTGACACAAAGGACATCTGTCATTTTCTTAACCTCTCGCGTGTTTCTCGTACATACGGGTGTACGAGCGCAATTGTACACCCGTATGTACGAGAAACGCGCATCGAGTGTATATTTTTTCTGTAACGTGTATTTTCAAGTTTTCAACCCGTTCTTTACTTGATTGAACAGAATAGTTAATTCGCTTTTCTATTAAAATATTACCCGTGTGTACGAGAACGCGCGTTTACCGGTGTGTACGAGAAGCGCACGAGAGGTTAAGTCTGATAACCCATTACACACGCACACATAAAAAAATCTACTGACATTTTGGTGCTTAAATCATTTCTAAGTGACAATATGTCCACCTTTTTTTCAAAGTCCTTGGGGCCGTTCAAATATTACGTAAACAGATTTTTTACAATTATTTAACGCCCCATCACCCTTGTCAGCAAAAGTAAGCAAAGTTCTTACCCCCTCCCCCTTTGCTTACGTAAACATTTTAAATTATATATTTTTTATATTGTAATTTTAATATTCTCTTAGTTAATGTTCATAATGTCTAGTTGTTTGTCGGTCTTTGCTTGTGTAAAATAGTAAATAAAGAGACCCCCCCATGGTGCTTACGTAATACTTGAACGGCCCCCTTGTAGTCTTGATAGAAATAAAAAATAATGCCTAAAATATAAATTTTCATAAATAAATGGCAGTCAAGATGACTAATCAATAAATCTTAATGAACTAAGCTAGAAAAATACTAACGCAGTTCAATAATAATAAGCTCTTTAAAAATTAATAACTTAATTAAGGTAAATACATAAAATCAAATTATTGCTTCATATTTCAACAAACGATCAATAAAATGAACTATAACAATTAATTTCACAAAAAATACCTGCCTCTGTTTTAAAACCCAGAGAAATGAACGGTTGACATGATATAATAAACCTTTCTTTTGCAAACCCTTCTTACTTTCTTTATTTTTTTTTTATATTTGACATTACTGTCATATTTATTATCGACTATTCTAAACAATGAAATTCATTGATCTTGTGCATTGGGTCAATATATTTTGTATATACATAAAAGCGATAGGTATTAATTTAGCGCCAATTTAGCATTCACTTATCAAATTATTCATTTTTATACAAAAAACCTTAAATACACAATTTCTTAAACACATGAAAGCAGAGTTTCAAGTTGTGATCACTGAAAATTCAAAACTATCCCGTCCACAGAAAGTTTATATTCAAATGCGTATCGTTTTAATACTGTTATATGGTCAGTAGGTGGCGCTATTGCGATGTAAAGTCCTAGGACGCATTATAGCTGTTAAAAATGGTCTGAACGGAAGCAAGAGACTTTAAACTACACTAGCGCCGCTTTAGGTAAATGTTGCGAATAATTCTAGGAACATACATATGGGAGTTTTGTGTATCTCAGATTTTTTGTATATGAATGTTATTTTATGGTTACCTTACAATGAAAGAAAATTCATTTGTAGCTTTATAGCAGAGGCAACAACTATTACCGATATCGAAGAATTTATTTTCTATGATTTTCCAATGACGGCTTAATTGTTATCGAAGATTTTTTTTTTGTATGTCAACTACGGAATTTTAACTTCCAAGTAAGTATCAGAACTATTTATTTATACTACTCGTACATCTAAAAGTAGTATTTACTTTCATTATAAAAAAATTCTAAATCCTATAAAAGTCATCTGATCAAAAATTTTGAAAACTTGAAAGTCGAATAAAAATTCTTTCGCATCACAGTCTAAATTGCTTCGAAACCTACCGTTTAGTGTTGCCATTAGAAAAATTTCATTCCGAAGGTAGAAAATGGACTATTTCAATATCATATTATTTTTAATAGATTTAAATGCTATTGAATTGAGAAATTGTTATTTTAATTCGAATCGAATGATTAATAGATGTTCGTAGAATCTATCATAAATCTATTGACCGCTATTAGACTTGAAGATTCTTTAAAAAGTTTTTCTATTTCAGTAACTGAACTAATCCCAAAGACAAGACGCTATGATATAGAATTGCATGCAATTGTCTATTAAAATTTAAAAACATGTTTTATTATTTTATAATTTCCTAGTACAAGGAAATACATGAAGATTTTTCATTGAGGTTTAATTATTCGATTGATTTATTTTTAATTTTGAACTTTACGCTTCTGACGTCATTTACTGAAGTGCAAAAGAGATAGGGCCACTCAACTTCATATCTCCATCTCTATCAATTTTTTTTAATATTTTAACATTTGAACTTCAAACTTCTTCATTATTCACTGTTTTACTTCCAAAGCAATATTATTTCATCAAAAGTATACTTAAATATTAAGTTCGTCTTTTTATATAGGACGACTCCTGCGCATCTTTCAACGATTATACATTTTAAGTGCGTTATATCAGTCCTCTTTAATTATAGATTAACGTCTTACGAGTTTTCGCATTATTTAGCATTCACTTATACATTAAATAGACATTACTGGTACACACTTGTATGGGTAGTATGATAATAATAAAATTCTCAATGACCGGAGCCAATACTGAAAATTTCGAAAAAAAATGCAATATTTTATCCATCCCGAAAATTGAACTGCGTGATAATAATTAATATTATCCTGTTCATCTTATTTCAATGGAAAACTTCATAGACAATTTTGGCAATAACTTAGATCAGGGTTGTCCAAACAGAGGCCCGCGGGCCGCATGCGACCCGCCGCTTGTATTAATATGGCCCACGACACACGTGTTAATGTCGACATCTTCATCTTCTGTGTAACAATCTTCTGTGTAACAACAATAATAAAATTCAGTGTATGATTTGTCTACAAGTTCTGTCTGTGAGTAAACAATACAATGTTAAACGTACATACAACTGAAAACATTTTACTGGCCCTCCAGCTTTTGAGGGTATTTAGTTTGGACAGCCCTGACTTAGGTCATCGAAATAAAATTAATTAAACAACTGTTTACTAATTAACATTATCATCGTACTACCCACACATGCACACAATTCACATATACAATACATAATTCAATTCACACCATACTTTTAGTGCCATACAATACAATGTCTTTCATTTATTTAAGGTATAACAATTTCAATGGTCATAAAGGGATGATAATATTATTAATTGGTAATCTAAATATGACAATTTTGGCGGAAATATCTGTAGATTTTAAACATTATATGAACAAATAATAGCTGTCAATATTGTAGGATCACTTTCGACTATACAAAATTAACGCTACTTTAGAATTTTATATCCCAATACTATTATGAGCAATCTGAAGTTCGAGCGTATAACAATGACAGCTGGTCACTGTCACTCGCAATTACCAACTAACTTCAGACTAAAGTTTTGCTATAGTATTTCAAGAGATACAAGTGTATACTCGTGATTGTCATCATTTACAGAATAAAAAATAAACCTCAAATCAAAGCTTAATATTTCAACTGGGATTAAAGACTGGGACTCTAGAAGCCTACAGATATTTCCACTAAATAAATAAACATCACACCTTGATCTTAACGGGGTTGGCAGGGCAGTAGCTCAACATAGTTAGCAGGGAATAGACCAAAGACCCCATGAGGTCCAAGTCCTTGCCACCAGCCGGCGTCAATCTGTTCTATGTGGGTGATAATGTCGCCGGGATCAAATGTGATCTCTGATTCGTCCGCTGTAAACATCATTAAATGAGTATTAGACTAAGATATATGTGGGTGGGAAAGATTCGGCACGAATGAGCCGTCTCGACCGGAGCGATACCACAGCAAAGAAATCTAGCGCAAAATAATGCTTGCGTTGTTTCGTCGTATAAATAAACTTATCACACATCCACAACCATAATACCCACTGCTGAGCAAAGCCTCTTTCCACAAGGAGAAGGTTAGAGCATTAATCACCACGCTTGCTCAATGCGAGTTGGCGATTTCAAATTTATAATAAATTAGAAATTATAGGCCCAGGTTTCCTCACGATGTTTTTCTTCACCGTTTATCAGTGGTGTCTGAATAATCATAGAAAGTACACATAACTCGGAAAAAGTCACATTGGTACTTGCCGTTGGTAGGTTTCGAACCCGAACTCTCATGCATGAGAAGGGGGCTTCTTAAACCTCCGGGTTACCACGACACTTAATGAAGAAGCAATAAAGTTATCGGAAGCCCTTATTAGGTCGGCAACGTATTTGTAACTCCTATAGTGTTGCGGGTGTCTATAGACGACGCTGATTGCTTAACATCAGGTGATCCGTCGGCTAGTTTGCCAGTCTGCCATAGAAAAGTCATTGAAGTATTTGACTTACCGGCTTGGTAGTCATACAACGCGCGCGCAGTGAGGCCGGGGTCATCATCCAAGTCCTCGTATATCGCGCCCTCGTCCTCCATGCCCTCCGGTGATACGTCTGTAAATATTAGTAAAATTTATTAAAAACTTAATGAAATAATTATTGAATAACGTTACATAACAACGCTTATTATTTGCCAAAAGATTGAGCAGTCCTAAACTAAAAGTATTTTGTAATAGACATAACAAAACCAAACCAACACCTGGGTCAGGTTTTTCGATAATCGCCAGGATTATTAAATGAGCACTTAGTCTGGAATGAAGTACTATAAAATAATCTTCGAAAGTACATATAACTTGGAAAATCAGGTTTAGGTTTCGAGCCCGCACCCTCGTGCATAAGAAGCGGCGTCTTAAACCTCCGACCCACCGCGACGCAACAGGACTGTTATATCATTATCGTTACATAACTGGGAAAGTAAGTAACAAATTGTATATGCATGTGCACCTCTTTCACCCCACCTTTGTCGAAGCAATCATATTGGAAAACAATGTACACTTAAAACTATGCAATGCAAACAGCCTATATAATATCAACACAATGCATTACTGCCTCGTTGGCCGAGTGGCCGCAAGTGCGACTGCCGGGCAAGGGGTCTCGGGTTCGATTCCCGGGTCGGGCAAAATATAAATGGGGTTTTCCAAAAAAATCTCAGTAGTAGCACGGAGTCTGGAATTGTGCCCGGTATATGGCTATAGGCTCACCACCTATTACATGGGACTCATAGCATAAATAGTGAAAATTAGGTGTTACGTTGTAGTGGTATTAAATGCCTTAATGTGCACCTCTGCCTACCTTTTCGGGGATAAAAGGCGTAATGTTATGTATGCACAATGCATTATAACCTTCACAAACAAAACAACTCACCATCAAGCGTAGTCCCATTAGTATCCTTTTTGAAATTAACATTCTCTATAACAGTATTCTGACGGCTCAACTCGGTACGATCGTTGTCATCTGTAATATTATTCTTACTGTACGGCGACCGTTTAATAGTACTGAATTTATTGTCACTATCTTCATCGTCATTCTCGTTGGAGCTAGAGTATGACGCGTCAAACATGTCATTCTCCAAAATATTCTGCTTAATCATCGGCTCACTCTGTTTCAAGGGTTCAATATCTCTATAAGAATTCTCCTGTTTCGTCTCAGCATAATTAATGGCACTAAATGATCCTGGATCGTTTTCCGTCGATGGACTCAAGTCCGCTGGATCTATGATCGGTTCATATTGTATCTGTGACGGACTCTCCAAACTCATTTTGATCTTGTCTATGTTTTTAAGCGGGCTTGTCTTTGGTTGTTCCTCTGTCTGTGGTATTGGTTTGGGCTCGAGTTTGGTTGGCGATTTGATTGGGGATGATTGTGGGGATTGCGCTTGTGTGAATGTGTTTATGCGTTGCGCTATCACCGAACTGCGGACTGGCTTCTCTGGTGTGTTGTTGTTTGTTCTGTTGGGATTAAAATGCATGCATGAAAAGTCTGAATTCTTATTAATTTAACCTAGATGCAGAATATGAGGGTTAAGTGTCAGAAAACCCTGCTATATCTGTACTCTACACATATAGCAGGGTTTTCCCAATGGGCTACAACATGGGGTTCCCCAAGAGGGGAGTGAATAGGTTTCTCAACTCGTCGAGCGTCCGCGTTCCTCATGAACCAACGGGTGCACACGTGACATTTGGAGAAAGAAAGAAAGAAAATACATTTATTTGGCCATTGGCACACGAAGACAAGGATCATTACAATAGAAATAAAAAAATATAGTCAAAATAAAAACAAAACATTCATAATAGATTTTATAAAAGAGAAAGCAGCATGGAGCATTTTTTCTTATGATCCACCGGGTGCTCATAAGGACGCTCGAGAGGTTAAGGGTCAGCAAGACGCATGTAATGCCCCAAGTGTTGCAGGCGTACATAGGCCACGGTAACCGCTTACCATCAGGTGGGCCGTGTACATATTTGCCACAGTCGTAGTATAGAAAAAAGGGAAATAGACTACAATGAAGGGTTTCCTGATTTCCTCTTATAAAAAGTTATTCAGAGTGTTTTAAGAGATACGGCAGCAAACAAGCAAACAGGCAGACAAAACGAGCGCATTGGGAATTGGGAATTTGGGGACAAGAAATGACAAAAAGAAATACATAACTCTCCATTTAAAGATGAGATAATTGAAGAGTATCTAACCTGGCGGGCATCTGTCCCTGCGCGAGGTTCTGTTGGAACAGAGCCCTGGCGGCGGCGGTGGAGGCGCCGATGAGTTGTCGCGCCTCGGCCGAGCGCTGCCGCCGGAGCGCTTCGCTTGTAGTACCGCCTGGTACTGCATCGGGACTTAGTGACCTGGGAAATTAATATTATTTAATTTTATAATAACTTTAGCGAGACATACTAAATTAACTAAAAATCGCGGGTTACTCAACTAGTAGAGTTTTTAATAGAATATTTACGTGAGTGACCCGCGAGTTTTAGTAATTTTATTATTTTTGTTTATGGCGTAAGCTGGTAAACGAGCAGGCGGATCACCTGATGGTAAGCATCAGCGTCGCCCATGGACACCTGGAACACCTACAAGTGCATTACTCACGTGAATATACTGAGAAAAGCTCTACTAGTTTCGAACATTCGAACCGAACAGTGAGCTGCGCGACGTCGCCGCGACCGCGCACGCTGCTCATGAGGAAGAGCCCCTCTGTGGTTCGAAACTAGTAGAGCTTTTCTCAGTATATTCACGTGAGTAACCCGCGATTTTACTTAATTTAGTATGTCTCACGATAGTTATTATAAAAACATAGCAAACTTGTACTCACTTGTCTTGTTCAGCTTTAGCTCTCCTCTCCGCTTCGAGTTCATCTCTTCTCCTCGCTAATTCCTCTGCTTTCCTCTTCTCCTGTAATTAATTAAAAACGTATCAAACTGATACCTTTATTTCTTCTTTTCTAATGTAAATTGTTTAATAAATAAATGAAATGAAGAGCGGGCCAATGTCCAGCGCAGAAAATATATTCGAATTGAAAATGACCACGGGTGACATTGAGACACAATCATTAATTACTTGGAGATGATAAACCACACAATATGGGAATATTGATAATCTTTGAATTATGGACATTAAGTCAAGTCAAAATCATTTATTTCGATTAGACCACAAAGGCACTTTTGAACGTCAACAAAAAAGTTTAAAAGTGAAGCTATTTGCTCATTCAAAGGTGTAGATTCCTTTGGATAAGAACGAGCAAGAAACTCCATAGGTTACTCTTTTTCAAATCAGGTTTACAATACGATTCTCTAGTTACATAGTAACATTAAAAATGATATCTTATAGATAATCTTTCAATTTTACGCATATATATAACTTCACGCCTTTTATCCCCGAAGGGGTAGGCAGAGGCGCACATTACGGCACTTAATGCCACTGTACAATGTAACACCCACTTTCCACTAGTTTATGTTATGAGTCCCATGTAATAGGGGGTGAGCCCATTGCCATATACCGGGCACATTTCCAGAATCTGTGGTACTACTGAGATTTTTTCGTAAAACCCAGTAATACTTTGCCCGTCACGGGAATCGAACCCGAGACCCTTTGCGCGCCAGTCGGACTTGCGATCACTCGTCCAACGAGGTTGAGTGTAGGAAATTACATAACACAAATATGTCTGAATACTCAAACGCTACTCAATTTTAAGTCGCGCTCAAGTATAGTTCTGTCTCTACAAATTCTTTGTATAATGACAGAGATGGCACGATATTTAAGCACGACTTAAAATTGAGTAACGTTTCAGTATTCCGGCAATAGTCTGCTATTCTAAGTAGTCAGTCCACTTACCTCCTCTCTCCGTTTTCTCTCGGCTTCCACTCGCTTCTTCTCCTCTTGTTCCTCCTTCAGCCAAAACTGGTCCCTCTCTTTAGAATTTATTTCTTGAACTGTAAATAAGAAAAGGAATATGAGTTGGTTCTAAATGGTACGTTTTCTTTGCTTTTGCTTTTTCACGTCTAAGCTTACTAAACAGTATAAAAAGAAGCAAATAGGTATAATGGGGATGATGACAGGGTATGAAAATTAAAAATATAATTAGTCCGTAAGTTAGGTAATGAAAAAATATTAGACACGTATTTTTTTATTTTGTCGTATAATAAAACAATACTTAGATAAAACGAATCAAAGTTTAGGAGTGGGGGCTAAAACGTCATTCCTTAGTATAAAATGTACTGAGAAGTGACGTCACGCGACATTTCAAATCAATATATCTTCGAAACTATTCGTTTCTGTGAGAAAATAAAAAATACGTGTCTAATGTTTTTAAATAATCTATCAGACGGACATTAAAATAAAAATTAGTCGTCTACCCCATTATCAAACAGTACAGTTTAATTCGCTTTGCATATTATCTATATCCATATTTATATAAATAAAAATGAATTGCCGTTCGTTAGTCTCGCTAAAACTTGAGAACGGCTGAACCGATTTGGCTAATTTTGGTCTTGAAATGTTCGTGGAAGTGCAGGGAAGGTATAAAAGGTGAGAAAAATATTTTTAGGCGGTACGAAGTTTGCCGGGTCAGCTAGTCCTTACTATCCTTACTAATATTATAAATCGGAAAGTGAGTTTGTTTGTTTGTTTGTTTGTTCCACTTTCACGCCGTAACTACTAAACCGATTGCTTTGAATTTTTGCAGATGTACAGTTAGAAGTCTGGATTAAATAATAGAGTACTTTTTATCCCGGAAAAATTTGATATTCCCGAGGGAAAACGAAATTATTGGTATAGATGGCGCTGTGTGTATTGGTTTAAGTCACATAGGCTACTTTTTATCCTTTTGTGACGCGAGCAAAGCTGCGGGTAAAAGCTAGTATTATATAAAAATGAAACCCGTTTCCCGTTGTCACGCCATAACTTGAGAACGGCTAGACCGATTTGGCTGATAGTTTTTGTGTTATGTTTATTATTGTCAGGAAAAGGTTCTTATGACAAAAAAAAGTCCTTAAAATCCTACGGGAACGGGAGAAAACGAGAATGCGCGTACGAAGTCGCGAGCAGAAGCTAGTTCATATTATAATCATGTCGATTTGATTGCCATACTTTTTACTGACCAGAGAACTGCTCAATTGGCAAGACATAAAAATCATACGGTCAGCTAAAACAATGCATATTTTCTTCCTTTTTTGCTGTCTGCTAGCAATTTATTATACTAAACTAGCGGACCCAACAGACGTTGTCCTGCATATCCACTTGAATGTATAAACAAAAATTCATTCAAATTAGTTGTTTAGGATAAATAACCTAAACATCGATTGCAGCGCCATCTGCCGGGCTGATTTGTGAATCTAAACCATTCCCAGATCCCCTTGAACACACGCAAAAAATTTCGTCAAAATCGGTCCAGTCGTTTGAGAGAAGTTCAGTGACATACACACTCACAGAAGAATTAAAGATAGAAAAATAATACCTCTCCTTAAACTATTCTTCCGTCTCTTTATTTCATCAGCACCTTTCCTATACACAACATCGTTGCACGCCATTATAGCGCCGGTCATTTTAAAAAAATCACTAATACCACAATATCAACTACCGACGCATCTCGCGAACGTCTCAATCAAGATTACAATTAAATAAATGCCTTTAGTTTCATGTTGATATTTACATTACGAATAACTGATGCAGAATGATAAATATCATCGTTATAGTTATTGTTATTCCATGTTATTATAAACAAATGCCAGTAATATTGAATAACAGGAATTCGCGTTTCCTGATTCATTTAAGATGCGCGTTTTGCGTTTATGTCAGTCGGTGACGGCCTCCCTAGGAGAACATACCTATACATATGCCTATGTTTGATCTCCTAGGTCGTACATCGTCGAAGGCGACGAGGAAACAACCGCGCCGTGACGCCTAAAGTGTTTTTTTTTTATGGCATACGCCGGTAAACGAGCAGACGGATCACCTGATGGTAAGCAATCGGCGTCGCCCATGGACACCTGGAACACCAGAGGCTTTACAAGTGCGTTACCGGCCTTTTGCGGATTAGGAGTTTGGGGATCATTGGGGATTCAGGAATTGGGGAGATTGGGGAAGGGGAGGGTAATTGGACCTCCGGTAACCTCACTCACACGACGAAAGACAACGCAAGCGTTGCTCACTCTGGTAGCGCCGGCCCATTCGTGCCGAAGCATTACTCACCCACACCTATAAAGTGTTGATTCCCTCTCTATAATATTGGCAGGCAAACATTTGGGGTCATGGGCGCATAGAGTGGGGGAATCTAGGCGTCCACCTAATGACCTCAAGGAAGACGACGGCACAATGGTACACGTGCCGCCGTGCACTGCACAGAGAGGCTCAAGGTAAGCACATAGGTCTCCATAGAGCGGTGCTGTAACAGGCATTGCACCATGGGAGCTCCGGGACTGGTCTACTAAGAGGATCCGGTGCCTCCTTCAGGTGCAGATGGTGGCCAACGAGGAGGTCTTAGTAGGGAAGGTTTCATCCTCGAAAATGGTTTGATGGAGACTTTAAAGTACTCTCCAAGTCCAGTACCAGTCCATAACAAACCGGATCACGTAAGAAGAGTAACAACTGCTACAATGCAAAAATTGGTCTTACTCGTTAGTTCGTTACGTAGCCGAACCCGTCCCGCGTACAATTAACTTTGAGTGGCACTCATCAAAAATCTTCATATTATATCGATCTAATGATATTTTGTATAAAGATGTGTTTTTTATTTCAGTCGCTAATTCGACTGCCTCGTTGGCCGAGTGCGACGGCCGGGCAAGGGGCTCGGGTTCGATTCCTGGGTCGGGCAAAGTATAACTGGATTTTTTCAATAAATCTCAGTAGTTGCACGGAGTCTGGAAATGTGCCCGCCGCCCGGTATATGGCAATAGGCTCACCCCCTAGGCCCTTATTACATGGGACTCATAACATACCATAGCGGCAAGTGGGTGTTACATTGTACAGTGGCATTAAGTGCCGTAATGTGCACCTCTGCCCACCCCTTCGGGGATAAAAGGCGTGAAGTTATATTATGTCGCTAATCCACCATTGTATTACAAACTCACCTGGGTTAACTTTATGGTAGACAGTGCCGACGGGTCCACTTGGAGGCAACTCCTCAGGCCGACTGGTCTTGAAATTGAACGCTGATCCGGCCTTAGCAAGCTTATCCTGAATGACCTTCTCATCAAGGTCGTCCTCTGTTCTGGCGTGCATCGTCAAATGGAAACCAGTGAAGAAATTGGCTACATGTTTTATGTGATTCGCACATGTACCTTTGCGGACCGTCGGCGCTCCTTCCCCCTAAAATGGAGATAATTTTGGTTACATTTACCTTACATTTAGATTCATTAAGAGCTTGTGACAGTCTATTGTTGCCTGTTGGTAGAAAGAAAGTATTTTAAGTGTGAGAGAGCCATGCTTCGGCACGAATGGGCCGGCTCGACCGGAGTGATACCACGGCTGAGCAGAAAACCGACGTGAAGCAACGTTTGCATTGTGTTTCGTCGTGTGAGTGAGGTTACCAATTTCCCTCTCCTTCCCCAATCTCCCCAATCCCTGAATCCCCAACAATCCTCAAATTCCTAATCCCAAAAGGCCGGCAACGCACTTGCAACGCCTCTGGTGTTCCAAGTGTCCATGGGCCACGCCGATTACCATCAGGTGATCCGTCTGCTCGTTTACCGCCTTATGCCATAAAAAAGGCCAAATAAAACGTTAATGTTAACTATTACGCATTTCGATGTTTAACATGACATTAACTACACGTATTCCCAATAGACCAATAGACAGCTCTCATCATAACACAAGTTAGATACAAATATGAAAAGAACCACACGATAAATTAGATAATATGATTGATCACCGACCACGTACGAACATAAATTAAATGGAAACGATGACATAACGTATTACTTGCTATCTTATGATGATTATAATGTCAACTACCTTCGTTATCAGTACCTATGTCACAATTCATCCCCTGAATAGAGTAAACATTAGTGAGATATCGGTGTATGGGTACAAATAAACTTGATTGCATAATTATGACAGCTTTTGTTGTTTAAATCGCATGGATATCGGCAGAACCGTTTTCTTCTAAGACAAACTAACCAAGCGCCTAGTACACCGGCTTACAGGGGCGCTGCGACGCCATGAGACGCGTGGGCCTTTTTTTAGGGGGGAATATCATCGAATGACTGCTCCCGCCTGGGTGAAGCGGGAGGAAGTGTCAGACTCTTACTGACTAAAAACCACCCCGTTCCTTTTCCTACACGTCGAGCCGGAGCCCCGGTTACCCGTTAGGTTCTCCGCGACAGACGCGTGGGCCTATGAAGTGACGGGCGGCGTCAAAAAACATTAGGGGCGGCTATGAGGCATTTGCTCTGAACGCTCTCTATACTCGGAATTTTAATTCGATTCCAGATTTGACAATTTCAGTGTTGTCACGTTATGACAAGTACTAAATAGTGACGTTGCGAAATTATTCGATATGGAAATGAAATATTTCTGGATCGATTCTTCTCGTTTATAATTTTACTCTCGTAAACTAAGTTTATCAGGAAATTAAATATTTCTGATCGATAATTTAGATTTGACGGTTAATTAACGATCTGAGACTTTTCTTTTATAATTGTGTGTGAAATAAATAAAAAATGTAACCATGAAGGAACATGACAAATAAAACAGATAGATGTATTATGGTGATAATTTATTTTATAAATTGTCGCCGTCATCGCTATCGCTATCGCTGTCACTTTCTGTAACATTTATTAGAAAACACACACACTGATTGTTTATCGATTTTTGTGTTCATCACTACACTATTACCTATATGTGGTATCATTATTTCACAAAATGACAGTAGCCAATGTCAAATCTGGAATCGAATTAAAATTCTGACTATAGATGTAATCCGTGCCTGGGTGCCGTGCTTGTATCAAGTTACCAGATCATATGGTAAAGTTAGTAATCCCCTGTTTACATCATGGGGATAAGGATAAAACGAAAAAGAACAACGTATAAAACTTCAACTGCCTCATTGGCCTAATAGTCGCACGCGCTGGCAAAATATTACTGGGTTTTTTCAATTCGCAGTAGTAGCACGTAGTCTGGAATTGTGCCTGGTATATGGCAATAGGCTCACGCCCTATTACATGGGACTGATAACATAAATAGCGAAAAGTGGGTGTTACATTGTACAGTGGCATTAAGTACCGTAATTTGCACCTATGAATCCCCCTTCGGAGATAAAAGGCGTGATGTTATGTATAAAACTTAAAAATGTTCACAGATTAAAAACTGATAAGTTATAATGTAAAATAATTTGCCGCATCCAGGATTTCTCTGCCAAGTGTCAACATCCACAATCATCAAGCGTGTATAACCGCGTAGTTTTTTTTTTAATATTTCCTCGTTTATTAATAGTTTCCTTATGTGGTCAGAATAATAAATAATATTAATAGCTGTATTTAAAATCCTTAATCGTGTTGCTATTTTGCTAACCGCAAGTTCGAAATGGCTGAACAAATTTCGCCGATTTACTTTGTTGTTTTTGTTAGGTAGTATTAAAACAAATATAACATGATATAAGATCACGCCTTTTTTTATCCCCGAAAGGGTAAGCAGAGGTGCACATTACGGCATTTAATGCCACTGTTATGTGTTATGTAATCGAAACGAGACCGCGTTCGGTGTTCTAATTGGCCGGCTTCAATGAACCAACCAATCAGAGAATTTAACTCGTACTAAGGCCTCTGTATTGCGAAAATAAAAAACCTATAGAAAATAATATTTATGCAATAACCGAAGCATGAACATCCTACCTTTAAATATTACAAAATGCGAAAGTCTATGTGTAATTTAACAGTGTAAATTACGACTATAATCATAATTGTTTACCTACAATAAATTCATTGGTATTTATCTATCGAAATACCTACGTACTACTTATAGATTAACCTACGACCAGCATTATTAATACATTTTCCCTAGGAAAACAAAAGCTATTTGTAATAATAATAAAAACTTGTTTTAGTTCAAATACCAGTTAATTACAAGTTTATAATGCATTTGGTATGAATTCAGTCATTAATGAAATAGAAAGAAAGTGTACTGGACCAGGACAGGATCCACGACCGTCGTGTGGTCTAGTCCCTTCGGTAGATAAAGTTATATATTTATTGATCTATTTTATGTGTAACAGCAGGTAATGCATAAAAACAATAAAATCCCTAAAGAGGTAGACAGGGGTGCATATTTACAATGTAACACCACAATTCACCAGTTCCCTACCGGACACTGGGTGAAAAAAACCAAATAATACTTTGTCTGACCTGGAATAGAACTCAAGTCCTCGAATGCGCCATTTAGATATTTTGACTGCATCAAAATATTCTATAAAAATTATCTAGTCCATCTATTGTAAATATTATATTCAATTTAAACCTGTCATTTTAGTGAAAGTTAAAACTTAAGTTATCAAATTTACATTCTTATTCTTTGCATAAATATTAACACTGCAAAGTTACATCATCAAAAATAAAAAAATAAAATTTATGAATATTTTCGGCCAGTTTTTGAACAACTAGCATTATTCAGTAATGTTAGTTTTTTAAACGTCATTCTAAATCTAATTGGCATAATACCGCAATTCTTAGCCATTAGTACAAGTTTATTTTACGTTAAATGTAATCGAAATAACATCCTACGAACCATTGCAAATGCTCCGTGGGTCTCCAGAAATGACGAGATACACAATCATCTCAACTTTCCAACAATTCAATCAGAGATAGACAAATATAAAAAAAGTATGCGGAACGCCTAGCTGTTCATCCCAATGACCTGGCAACTCAACTCTTATATCCTTCAGTCATGGAGGGGAGACTGAAGAGGAAGGATGTCTTCTAAAAAGGCAGATGAGGCGATGGCCTCGTTGTCTTCCAATCAAGATTCCACTCAACTCGTCTGCTTATAGTCTTGCGACTGATTGCTGATTTTAAGCAAAAAAAAAAAATGTAATCGAAATGAGACCGCGTTCGGCGCTCTTATTGGCCGACTCCATTGAAGCAACCAATCAGAGCGCCCTGAACGCGGTCTCGTTTTGATTACTTTAAACGTAAAAAACCTTGTACTAGGCCTATGTAAACCTTCTTTAAAGTTTCCTTATTGGAATGTTATAGGAGTCTTAAAAGTCATAAAACATAACCATTGTTAAAACTAACAATAGGTGTGCCCAAAAGAATAAAGAGAAGTAATCCAGAATAACAATATGTAGACTATGCAAAAAATCTCTATATGGGTATTAAATATGCGACACATATTTTACCAGTCACTTAGCCAACGAAAAGGATAACATAATAACACATCACGCCTTTTATCCCCGAAGGGGTAGGCAGAGGTGCACATTATGCCACTGTACAATGTAACACCCACTTTTCACTATTTATGTTATGAGTCCCATGTAATAGGGGGTGAGCCTATTGGCATATACCGGGCACAATTCCAGGTTCCGTGCTACTACTGAGAATTTTTAAAAAACCCAGTAATACTTTGCCCAACAACCGGGAATCTAACCCGAGACCCTTTGCCCGGCAGTGCACCTGCGACCAACGAGATAGTCAATAAAACAATTCAATACTATAAATATAGTCATCCTTCTGTCCCTTACTTGAAAACATTAAAAGATCTAAAATAACTAATTTAAGTGGACTATGCAAAGAATTATTCCATATAAAACCATCCAATGACATATTGTATAGAAGATAGTCGCCTAGTAAATAGTTCAATCAAATACTATAAAATATAGTAAACATTATCTAAACAAAACAGGCCACACCTATCTAAGATACAGTAACTATTCAAGTTATTCATACAAAACATGAATAATAATTTAAATTATTATCTTTACAAAGAAAACATTGAGAATTATCTTATCTACTTACTTGCCAGTTGATAAGCACATATTTCGATAAGCTCCCATTCGGTTGGTCTACCTTCAGAAATGCATACTGTATTTTGCCACTGTTGAACTCATCAATAAGCTCATCCAAACCTCCATCTCCTTTCTCAATAAATTTCAAGTCATTTGACTGTCCATCATAGCCAAATAGGACCCTGAAAAATAAAACATTTCATTTTTTAGTAATGGCAACAATTCATATTGGATTTTTTTTTTAATTGGAAATAAGTCTTAAATTAGGGTTTTCTGATATAATTGTGAGTCTATATTTTGACTAATCTAATTATAGTTATCAACAGGTCTACCATTATTTATTATAGCTATTAGTATTACATATTTTATCACCAAAAAAAATACAACAGGCATTTGATAACATCATGATAATGTTTATTAAAGGATCTATTTTAAGCCTTCGACATATAAAAACTCCTTGGTCATTTAAAAAAAACAATAATGACAAAGGTTTTGGGGTTCCACTAATTTTACTACTAAATAGATTATTTGATGTATTTTCTATATGATATGAGTTAAAGTATATGTCAATCTCATAAGAAATTAATCAGAGCCTTGAGGATAAAAAGATATTAATTTTAATATTTTTTTAACACTTTTGTAAAAAGTGCTATAAAGAAAGTTCAAACCTTACACAAAAATGTGCATAGTTATGCTGTAACCATCTCTCCTTTCATAACACTGATGTTTTGGCTTTAAGACAAAGCAGGCATTATGTGATATAATTAGATGATACAAAAGAATAGCTATTTTGATTCAGTCACGCATTTGATAATATCTCAATTACACAGATTATTAGGTAATTACTTGAACTATCTACATAATCCATGTTCGACAGGAAAATGTAGATAAAAGTTGATGTATTATTTTTAAATGAGTTTCTATGTAGCTTGCTATAGTGAGCATATTGTAATGATGTACTATGAGTGAATTATTATTTTTAGTAGAGATTAAATGGGTACCTTTTAAAAGTTATTACATAAAATTCAAATTGTAAGCTCTGTAGAGTTGAAATACCAATTAATTATTATTTCCCTATCATTTCTATCTCAGTCGAGATTGCAAAATTAAGGAGTGGTACTTGCTCGAAGTAGGGTTACATTCGAATTAAAAAATCAGGACACCAACCAATCTAACAACTTTTTCAATGAGGTCGTTTCCACAAATTAACGCAGTTTTATTACAACTGCTTTAGTGCATGGAATGCAAGCAAAGGCAAGCGAATGAACTCCTTAAACTTCCAGCTATTGTTTTCACTTATAAGGACCCCTGTTAACGCCACGCTAATGAATTCAATTCATTATTTCAATCAACGGCAGCTGTTTATTTAATTTCCCTAGCAAGTAGGTCGGTGATACGAAGATTCGGACTCACCAGTTTGTATCAGTTTTCTCGTCTAATACGTCCTTCCACCCTGCGATTAACGCCTCCTTGTGTTTATCTAAATTTATGGCCATTTTACATTATTTGTACTAACTCCTACACGAAATAAAGAAGCCGAATTGTTGGAAAAAAGCAAAATAAAACGCCGATAAATCGCCTGACTCACAACAATTTTTGCCACAGATTATCTTTGTAAAGTAAAGGTTTTTGAACTTTGTGACAGCTGAAATGTGTTGCCATATCAAAAAAATAATACAAAATTGTGCATCCTTTTTTCAATGTCCAATTTTTATTTTTACGTTTTTTTATTACAAAAACTACAAATAGAATAATAAGCCTTAATTGAAATAATTATATATTTTATTACATAGAACCACGTAAGTAACAAGTACCTACATAACTATACATTGCACATCACAAAACTACAAGACGCCTGGCTAAAATGTGTTAGCATTATTTACTTTCTATTCGCAGACAATCCATTTAGCTCATATATTATTCACAGGGATCCTCAAGCCCCGCCTCATTTTTTAAAGAATAAGATTTATTGCCCATTACTGTTTGCTATTCCCACGTACTACAACAGTCTTGGATTTCCCCCTTGCGCGCGCATTCTACTTTACAAGCAAGCCCTTAACACCGTAGGTATCGCAGAAACTTTCATTCATAACAAGCCGTAGTCAGTAGTCACGACAGAGATCGCTTGGTGGACAAACGCCGCGCTAAATTCCGCCATGGCTTATTTTCGTATTATACAATAATAAACTGAATAAAAATGTGGGTAGACGTCAGTGCGCGGGAAAAACAAAATTACATGACGCAAACAAACGGATCATTTATACCCGGGTAAGTGATTGGTTGTAATTATTCGTTTATTTTGTTGATGAAAATATTGGAGGGAAAGCGTCGAGTGTTTGAGACATTGGAACATAAATATTTTGGTATGTAGTAATTTCTTTTCTGACGTCAGCATATTTTATTGTTTATCGTTGAAGTGGTTGGTTTTATTCTAAGAATTCGGGTATAATAAATACAATACTTATAAATTCCTTGTGACATGGTTTTAGTTTCACAAGATGATTTATATTTAAACTTATAAAAACTGCGCACTTGAATAGGCACTTCGTCGCGTAGTCCGTTTTGTCATTAAAATAGGAACGTACCTATATTTTTTACACTTACGATGTGATATAAAAATAAATAAGTATGTACTACGTTACTGCCTACATCTACTTACCTAAGTATTCGCCTGTGGGTACTTGGTACCAGTCACCACCGAACAAGGATATTATATAGGTATTTGCGAACTGTCTTCACCTGCTGTCCCAATTTAAAGGATATTAGGACGGGAACACAAGTTAGTTGCACACAGGCATTTTCATAGCAAATCATACCTAGACTAGATTTTATTATTGAATTAGTTTGTTTATTATTATCTACTGAATAACCTGACCTAAGAAATACATAAATTAAAGGGGAACTAAAGGCGAAGTACGCATTCGTAGCGACATAGATAAGATTGCTTGCCCTCTACCTTTGTATATATCTACAGATCATAGTAATTGGGTGAGCTGGAGCCTGGAGCTCTATCCATTTGGGATTATTTATATATTATTTAATAATGTAGGCGTTACCAAAAAGGTCCTAATGTCTGAAATGAAGCTATGGTCACAGATTAAAATAGAGCTTTCAATTTGGCGGCAACAGTTTAGAACGGCAAATTCAAATTATTACACAGTACGCTCTTAAAATTAGGACAACACCCGTAACAACCGCCCACAAACATCGCAAGTCTAGAAATCATTAATTTAACAAGCCAACATAAAATATCCTTTTACAAAATAACAAAAACGAAACTGTAATTTTTGTTTGAACATTATGTAAAGTCTGTTGCGTGCCTAGAATGCCTATTTATAAAAAAAAAAACATGACGTTTCGTCAAATGCCTATAGCGAAGTTTCTGTGTTAGAAAATACTAAAGAAATATTTAGAATTTTTTACTTAAGTAGTCTGCGTAACTGAAATATCTTGAGTGAAATGTCTAGAATTTGAAATAAATAACGAGAAATTAGATGTAATGAAATAAATAAAGGGATTTATTTGGGAAGTTGCTAGGCACTAGTAGGGCGCTTATTTGGCGAGACCGTATCGTAAATTGATCAAAGAATAATAAATTTATTAGATGTTTTCTTTGCTTGTTAGGAGCGTTTTTCTTTGTAATAGAAATGTTTGTTAGATGAATATTAGAATTAACTTTTATGTAGGTCAGAGAATATGTACTCAGGTACCTAAGTACCTATGTACGTATTCTTTGCCTACTTTTTTTTGAGGCGAAAATCATCCAATGACTTCTCCCGCCCGGGTGAGGTGAGAGGGAGTGTAAGACTCTTACTAATTAAAAACCATACTGTTCCTATTCCTGCACTTCGAGCCGGAGCCCCGGTAACCCGTTAAGCCAGCCGTTAAGGCATCATCCCCATTGGGCCCCATCATTCTTTGCCTACCTATGAAACCTATCTATTTAAATAATTACTTACAAAAACAAAACCAAAGCTATAACATTAAGATACTTAGGTACATTTTAGAATGCGTTCCCGCAAAAATTAATGTTATTTTGTTGAAGATAGATTTTTCTCACACCTAGAAAAATGGCAGGCCGTAAAAATGATAACACAAAACGTTTATTCAAAATGTAAGAGGGGAGAATTTTCCACGGTTAACAACCAACTAGGTACCTCTGTAAGTCACGTTTCCCTACCACCTGACCTAAAGGGCGATCACCACTTGAAGGATAATTCCCGCTTCTATTCAAATTGTTCGACAATTAAATACGAAATAGCTTCTGTGCACGCCTTTACTTTTCATAAATACTAAGGTTCATTCATGAAGGTCTTATTAAAATTCATATTAAGAACTGTGTGACTATAGACTGTTTATGCTGTTTAATTTTAATTAAAGATTATACATAAAATAAACATAAGCTATAATTACCTTTAATGTGCCTAAAAATACTTTTAGAATTGTAAAACTTCTGGAGTTGAGATTTCCAACTTGCAGCCCGCGCTCACGTGAGATATGGTACACCGCCATTAGCACAGAAAAAAAAAAATACAATCATCCGAACATTAATCCAATTATTGAGGTTTTATCGGATTGAAATTATATTGACATTGAGATTGGTTTCAAGAGTAAGCACCCCGGTTACGTAGTTTAGTTATGTAAATATACAGCCAAAAAAGTTATAATTAGTTATTTATAACAAGTTATGTTTAAACGTGTCTGTAACATATTCAGCTTAGCTGCAGTTTTAATACATTAAAAACCTTTTACAACCTAGACACAGATAACAAAAAAAAATCCTTCAAATTCTGAAAGTCATCACCCCTGAAAGCGAACCCATCATACCTATTCCACTACCTACGTAGGTACCTATCGTGACAAAACCGGAGACTTCCTAACGACAAGCGTGACCTTTGAATAACGACCGCAATCAGATAAAATACCCTTTATTCGGCCATATTTCCGTACACAAATGCTTGTATAATTTTAATGTTATTTGCTGAAAATCAACGCTATTTTTGTGATTATTATTATTATCATCGTGTAGACAACTCTTTATGATGACACCGACACATTAAATATAGGTATGTATGCGTAAATGTAGGTATATTAAGTACCTACTTATTGTATGATACTATACTTACTATACTATTATATAAAGTGGAAGAGTTTGTTTTTTTGTTTGTTTGTTTGAACGCGCTAATCTCCGTAACTACAAGTCTGATTTGAATAATTCTTTTTGTGTTGGATAGTGCATTTATCGAGGATGGCTATAGGCAAAACATCACGCTACGAGCAATAGGAGCTGAGCAGAGCGTGTGAAACCGCGCGGAAGTAGCAATTTGTATGATATTTAGGTATGAAGTAGGTAGGTATGTATTATTTATGTTAGTAAAAGGACTTTAAGCGAAGTCCTAAACAAATAATGGCTGTTAGTTAGATCTCTTAAAACAGTTAAAACTAAAATCAGTGATAATTAGGGTAGTTATTGTGCATAGGTTTAAACCTAGGTAGACATGCTAAGTACGTTTATAAAATCAAAGGTTTTTAAAAAAATAATTACTTAAGTACCCAAAGATCTGCCTCGTTGGCCGAGTGGTCGCAAGTGCGACTGCCGGGCAAGGAGTCTCGGGTTAGATTCCCGGGACGTGCAAAGTATTATTGCGTTTGTAAAACCTCAGTAGTAGCACGGAGTCTGGAAATGTGCCCGGTATATGGCAATAGGCTCACCCCCTATTACATGGGACTCATAACTTTAAGTGTAAAATAGTAAATAAGTAAAATTTTTTTTTAGTTTAACTGTACCTATAATGACTTGGCTTGTGCTGTAAATTATACATGTGCTTATAAATAAATAAACATAAGTGGTGAAAAGTGGGTGTTACATTGTACAGTGGCATTAAGTGTCGTAATGTGCACCTCTGCCTACCCCTTCGGGGATAAAAGGCGTGATGTTATGATGTTATAGGTAACATAAATGCAAATTTTTACTCAGTACCTACCTAGTCAGTAGCTAGCCAGTTGTATAAAGGACTGAGCAGTCACTAATTTCCAAGTCACGCTATATTTTCATAACGAGAGATAATTACTTGGCATAATAACGAAGAACAATATGAACACTAATTAAAGGAAAATTGCATTTAAGGAACTAGAAAATATTACAATACCTTAAGTACAGGTACGAAGGTTTGTATTAGTACAAATCACGGACAAAATGCTTCGATTCGCGGTATTAAAAGTGGGTAGATTCCAATTTAATATTATTGACTTTTGGATTTTTCACTACCCTAAACACGATGAAGCGTGATTTTCAAATTTAGTTTTAAAATAGGTAGGTACTGCATCAAAATTTATTTATTAAGTGTGGAAGAGCCATGCTTTGGCACGAATGGGCCGGCTCGACCGGAGTGATACCACGGCCTCACAGAAAACCTACGTGAAGCAACGCTTGCGTTGTGTTTCGTCGTGTGAGTGAGGTTACCGGATGCCCAATTACCCTCCCCTTCGCCAATGTCCCCAATTCCTGAATCCCCAACGATCCTCAAACTCCTAATCCCCAAAAAGCCGGTAACGCACTTGTAACGCCTCTGGTGTTCCAGGTGTCCATGGGCGACACCGATGGCTTACCATCAGGTGATCCGCATGCTCGTACCAATACCGGCTTATGCCATAAAAAAATTGTTTTATTTATTATTTCATGCACCTACACCATACAGCAGACAATATTACAGAGGACAACACATTAAAAGCATGAGGTACCTACATAGGTACTATTTCTTCCTGCAGACCTGCGACTGGAAAAGGAATATAGACATTTGACTCGCGAAGAACCTAACGGGTAACCGGGGCTCCGGCTCGACGTGCAGGAGAAGGAACGGGGTGGTTTTTAGTCAGTGAGAGTCTGACTCTCCCTCCCGCCTCACCCAGGCGGGAGCACTCATTCGATGATCTACCCCCCTTAAAAAAAAGACACTTTAGTTTCTTACTTATTTACCAAATCACTTGGCTGACTGCTCCTACTGCCACGTCACGTAAATTCTATAGTACCTAATTCAAGTTGAATTGACCAATGAATAATCTAGGCTCAAGAATTATAGACTTAACCGGATCTTATCAAATGCGGTATAAAGGCAATAATTTTCTATTGTCTCATGGTCCCAAGTGACGGCTAGTGTTTATAAGTAAATTGGCAATCTCAGCTATTGTTACTAGAGCGTGGGCAGCATATGTCCATCTTCTAGTCTAGAATTATAGCCTTAATCTATCTTTAACAATGATATACGTGT